CATGCTTTTTAAAAATTTAAGTATTTGTCCTTTTCATTAAATTATCATAAATGATATGAGAAAACAGTGTGCTATTTTTTATAAATCTTGGAGAATACTTGACAAAAATGTTTAATACGTTACAAATACGTCGCATATTTTTTTCCGCTCCATAAATTTCTTGTGAAAACAATACTGTTATTGATTTAAGAAGTACATTAAGTGTAATATATACATATGTTCTATTAGATATAATAAAATTATTTTTCGTTGCTAATATAACTGCAATTTATATTATTTGTAAAAAAAATATTAATAATTTAAAAATTTCTTTTAGAAAATAAATTATTCTTTAAAAAAAGAGTATAAATTATTCTTTAAAAAAATTATACTTTGTTGTGTGCATCCCTTGTGTTTCGTCGCTGTGTGACGTCTATGACGGTATATTTGAAATTTACTGTATCCGTTTCCGGGAAGTCATCCCTTAACACGTTCTTAAAAGGGTTGTTGATAAATAAGGGCAGTCATTTTATGGAAAATCGTCATTTTTGTAAAAAAAGAGTCTTACGACCGACATCTCGCATGCGAACGGGTTTTCCGACAGCGACAATTATCATTATATTTCCTTTTAATAATGATATACAGTCACGTGAAGTTGTGTTACAAAATTTTGTTTAAAAATCGGGGTAATGGAAGAAACGCTTGACAACGCGCCAACATTAAATTCTGCGTTAAATTAGAGAAATCGCCAAAAAAATGTTACAAATATCCAATGTAGTCACCACCTAACTCGACACACTTACAATTAATTCAACGTCTCCGTCATTGCTCAAAGCAGCTTTGATAGTCTTCTGAAGCAAGCCCTCTCAAAATTTGAGTCACGTTTTTTTTTATATCATCTGTATCTTCGAAACGTTACTCTTATGCTGATTTTCCGTAGGCTTGTTGAATCATTTGTAACGTTTCTGTTGGCGACCTCTCTAATTTAACGCAGAATTTAATGTTGGCGCGTTGTCAAGCGTTTCTTCCATTACACCGATTTTTAAACAAAATTTTGTAACACAACTTCGCGTGAGTATATCTCATTAACTATTGAACTAAATAATTTAAAACTTGCATCACGTGTTGAGTATTGAGTTGTGAATAATCCCCTAAAATGGCAACACAAACGGATCAAATGTTCGGAAATACGAAGCAAGTCTCAAAACTTAATTGTTCGGCGGTGTATGTACCGGCGGTTAAGCTCTGTCGCTAAAGTTGAATCGGTAAGTATTTAAAACACTCGTTATTTTCAAAGAAACAATATATATTGTGACATTGCCATCTCGCGCGCGTCCGTCGGATCCCTTTCCGATCGCAAAACGCGAACTGAACGGCCGCGTCAGACGAAAAATTGCGAGAGCCGTAATCTCTAGAGAGGCGTTATTAATTGCGATTCTTTTTTTTAATTTCGTGTATCATTACTTTTCGTATGAATATGGATTTTGGGAGCCTCATCGGCGGAGAAATCGGGAGACCGAAAAGTAACATCAAGAAACAGCTATCGGAGATCTCGGATGATCTTCAAGGGGAAAGGAGCCAGTCGTCAAAACAACTAACGGCAAATCCTTTGGCACGACGTGATCAGGACCTGCGCGCGTGATGCGCGACACATGGAACGGCGAGTAGATCTTCGCGCAAGGACTTAGGACCGTGCGGAGCCGTCCTTGGAGATTGCAGGAAGGCTGCAGTCTCAGGGCGCGGCACGCAGAAGAAGATAGTTGCGGGGATCACAGCAATACTTCCGATCAAGACGGACGGTTTGGACCCCGCGACGACCCCGCTGAGCGGACCCTAGCGAATTCTTGTTAGCATTACCGGGGTTGCGCGCACCCCCGATACGATACGATACGTGAGCAAGAAACTCTCAGACGCTGAATACAGAAAACGAAAGGCAGATAGGGATAGAAAAGAGCAAAAACAGGCTGGCTCTTTTTTAAAATATTTGAAAGAAAAGCAAAAGCCGTTATCTTCATATGTCTATGAAATCAGCAACGTAGAGACAGATGATGTTCGTACAGTAATTGAAATTAAACAGCCTAAACTTAATGAAGAATTAAATATCACAATAATCGGAAGTCAGAAAATTGAAATACCGGGAATAAATAAAACGGAAAGTCATCACAAAAGTCATCAGGACTGCCAAGAGACAATTGCTGTACAAAACAAAGATGAATTAAAATCCTTTAGTTTAAATGAGGTAAGCTCGTGGCCAATACCTTTAGAAGTTACATTAATTACAGAACTAGTTTTGAAAGGCCCAAAATAAGGAAGGACCTTTCGCTGCAGCAATGATAAGTGGTACAGGGACCAACGGACAGATAAGGACTATCTGTCTAGTGCGTGGTTCTATCGGCAACTCCATAATGTTGAAAAGATGCTTACGAACATGGATGGTATACTCTACAGTCAATGAATCTTTATATTGCTTTTGCTGCCGATTATTTATTTCTAAAGATTCGGAACATATACAAAGCGCTTTTACGAGAAATGGCTTTTGACAATAGTGGAAACTCAATCCAAAAGAAAAGCAATATGAAGATAGTTCTACCCTTATGTGGGAAAGAACTAGAAATAAGGATTAGAAAAGAACAGGTTATTGATTGATCACATCAAGATCAAATTAAGAAAGAAATTAAGACTTGGATTAAGGTTTTTGAACGAATCTTGGATGCATTCATGTTTCTAGCCAAGCAGAATCTATTTCTCCGTGGTCATCGAGAAAGCGTTGACAATATTAATAACAGTGCTGATAATTTCCTAGAACTAATAAAATTTATAGAAAAGTATAATTTTGTCATGAAAGAACATCTGGTATATATTCGTCTGGCTAGCGAAAAATAACGCTTAACAATTTCTTGTCACCTAACCAGATATTCAGAATGAGTTTATTATTCTTTTGCACGTTGTGTGAAAGATAAAATTTTGAGCGAGATACGTGAAACAAAGTACTATGTTATTCTTTTTGACAGTACACCAGATATTGCACATATTGATCAGATGACAGAAATAATCCGATATAAAGACTGACAGTGGCAAAATAAAAGTCAAGAAGCTTTTTGGGATTCCTTTCCATAAAAAAAAATTTGCTGAGAAAATTGCAGAAATAATTTTAGAATCACTGAATGAGAGCTAGCTGCTAAAATGCTCGAAAATTGTCGCTGCCAAGGCTACGATAATGTTATCACAATGTCAGGCGTTCACCATGAAGTGCAGCAGAGAATAAAAGATATAAATCCCAAAGCTGAATTCATTGCTTAATCATAGTCTTAACTTAGCTGGCGTTCGTGCTGCCGGACAGGGTGTACATTCGACTACTTTCTTCAGAACAATAGAGATAATTTTTACGTTTTTTTCTGCATCCACTCATCGCTGGAATGTGTTAAAACAAACAATACCTGTAATTCTAAAGAGAGTCGAGACGCGTTAGAGGGCGAAGCATGACACAGTTCGGGTCATCAGTTCTCATTATACAGATGTATTAGATACTTTGGAAGTTCTTATGGATCAATCGGAAAATGTTGGCACACGCGGTGATGCAGATATTGTATATGCCAGTATAACTATTTTTCCTTTTTTGTGCTACCTGCACTTGTAGAGCAAGATACTGCTTAAAATAGACAGAATCCAGAAATGCCTCCAAACAAGTGGTTTGGGTCTCGACCAGTCAGTGATTGCTATTAATACTTTAACATATTTTTTCAGCGAAAATAGAGATAGCTTTGTCAACAAGATATTGGCTGATGTAATATGCGAGCAAAAAAAAATCCCCATTCAAAGCGCATATGACAAAAGAAAAGAATGACAGGAGAAAAAGAAGATGATGCTGGCTTGTTGCCGCAAGAGGTACGTCGGGAAATGTTAGAATTTATTGATGAACCAAAAAATTACACAACGTTTCCAACAACTCATTTTGTTAAACGGACGCTTCGGATTTTTGAGCTTAAAAATATTGCTTGATGTATGTAACGATAAATACATATGGCAAAAAATTGATGAGCTACGCAACATCTACGACGACATTAATTCCGATGAGCTCAAATCTGAAGTAAGAAAGCTGCGACGACTTATGAGCAGTTCCAATGGTCAAAAGGAAACAGATATACCAGCAGTTGAGTGGTTAGTAGCAACATTTCTTGCATGGATTGTTCAATGAGGTTTCGCAGAAATACCCCCAAATATGATAGTGGCCTTAAGAATTTTTCTTACCATGGGTATGAGTGTTGCCACCTGTGAACGAAGCTTTACGAAGTTAAAACTAATTAAAACTTTCCTTCGTTCAACCATGAGTCAGATACGATTAAATAGGCTAGCGTTGCTTTCTATTAAACGAGACGCAACAAATGATATAGATTTTTTCAGATGTTATTAAAGAATTTGCAAGCATTAAAGCCCGCAAAATTAAGATTTAGACTTTGTTAAATTTAAGATTTATTTTATTGAAACTATTTATTAAACTATTTATTGAAACTGTTTATTTAAACAATTTTTTTATGTAAAATGCAAAATAAAGATGTTGCTTATTAATAAATGGGTGTAGTTCCAAAAAGTACTCACTCCCAATTTTTTTGAAACTCACTATTCTTATGTATTTTGATGCGCTGATTACGAATATTATAGTGAAAATTGGCGACTATTTGATTTTCATGGTGAAAACCATGAAAAACCCATAAAAATTATAGTTTTTTACGCTTATCTCAGTAAATACGGAAAATCATGATAAATGTTTCAGACAAAAGTTTTAGATCTTACAGAGATAAACATTTTATGTCCTATTCATTTTTACCGTACGAGTGATAGTTTTCGACAAAAACGATGGACTCTAAAACGGACAATTATTATGTGATAAATAATATAACATGTTTTTCCAGATTTTAAAACATTAAAATTTTCTAAATATTTTTGAAATAAAAAAAGAATAGATATTTTTATTTTATTTAGATTTCGCAAACTTTTAGACTTGTAAAATTCTCTGTACTCACAATATTTCTGGATACACCGAAAAAATATCCTGGATATGATGATAACGACGATTTAGAACTGCCTTTATAGGCAAGGATTGCTAATTGATATATTCCTGCATTTCTTTCTGCACATTCTCCAAGTCCTCGTACATGTATCCAGTAATAACCCGAAGTTTGATTCGCATTCAAAATAAAATCAACACGTTCACCTACACATAATTATAAATATACATAATAATAATTATAAATAATAATAATTACACATAATAATAATTATAAATAATAAATATATTCGCGTACGTGCAAAATATAAAAAGTATTACAGTGGAACCCCATTATAGCGCATCCCAAAATAGAAGAAGTATCCCTTTCATACGTGCTAGGTTACTCCCGGCTAGCGTGAGTGGGAGTAACAATCCAAGCGGGTAGATTTGTGGGCGCAGTATCCTCTTCCGGCGATATGGTTGAAAAGACATATTCGTGCACAAGTCTTATGTGACTGCTATGGTTCTGAATTTGGACAGAGTGGAGATAACCTGCTATAGCATTCCAGATCCTACCGTACAGTACGCTATTATGGGGTTCCACTGTTACATACGAGGGCTACATGATAAGTACCCGTGTTTAACGACTGATAGCGCTACTGACTCAAAATCTGTATACTATCGTTTAACGCCATCTTTCGAACGACGCCTGTCAAAATTTCAGACAGATTTATCGAATAGTTTTGTTTTGATAGTTGTTGAAAGTGGGCAAGTTTGTGTTTGTTTGCAACCATGGAAAAAGAGCAATATCGGTCAGTGATTTGATTCCTTTTTTCAATTGCTGCCTCATTCATCTTATCCTTCAGATTTCTTTTTGTTTTCAAACATGAAAAAATGGCTTGGCGGAAAGCGGTTCACGTCAAACGAGGAGGTCATCGCCGAAACAGAGGCCTTTTGCAGAGTTCGACAAATCATATTTTTTGGATGGCTTAAAAAAGTTGGAATATCGCTGGACTAAGTGTATCCAGCTGAAAGGAAACTAAGTTGAGAAATAGATAAAAAAAAATTTTTTTTAAATGCGTTTCCTTCCCTAACATGGGTACTTATCATACAGCCCTCGTATATTTAAAAAATTTATTCCACATTTATATACGTGTACATTAAAAGAAGTGCAGAATTATATTATTCTCCTAGCACATAATTTATATATTTTATATAAACTATATCTTTCTTACGTTAATAACAGAAAAAATGGTTGCAAGAAAGAATATAAAATGTTAACATTTTATGATATTACTATTTAGTTATGCACTTGTAATATTCAATTGTGTTTTTTTACATGAGATCATACATCTTTATTGCATAATATGAGTTGTATCAGTTTTTTTAATGCATTCTGATGGCCTTCTCTCTATCATCTATTCTGGAACTTACTTTGCAAGATTTTGAAAATTGCGCGATCCAAAGGCTTCCATTTTTTTTACTTACTCATATATTATATTTTAGATATATCAACGACACATGCGCGCGCGCGTGTGTACGGTCAGTACGGTCACAAAAATAACGGTCATAAAGATGGTCATAAACAAAGGTCAAAAAACAAAAACAACGAAATAAAGACTAATGCAGCAAATTAAGTTAATCTTTAAATCCAATTCAAACTTTAAAATCAAATTCAAAAGTCTCTCAATCGATTAATTTTAGAATTTTTGGCAAGTTCTCCATTATAAAGAAAATACAAGTCACAAAAACGAGTCATAAAACAAAGTCACAAAACCGAACACGGCAGGAAAAGACAAATGTGACAAGATTCATTAATTTTTAATTCAAACTAAATTTTCAAATCTAAATTTAAACTCAAATTTTCCAATCAATCTTTTTTTTTAATTTTTGACAAGTTCTCTACTATTGTCGCAAATGCGTGGTGTAAACTTTTCGTATTACTCTGCAGATTCAAGCCATTCTTTTACCGTTTAATGAACAGCATTTCGGAGACCAGTTTTTTACCGAACGAAGTTTCACTATCCAAAATTTCGATTCCATCCCAGTCAAATTCATGATCGCCTTAAATCTGTGATTCGTAATGAGAGTAAGAATGAAGTGAAGAAGGGATTTAAGGCGACAGGAGGCACGTACCAAGTAATCATCCATCCGCGGCAGCGGCATTGTCGTATCTGTATAGGGCATTTACATACTTCTTCAACCCGACAAATAATTGTTAAAAAATAATATTTGTGGACTTGAAAAAATATGCAAGGTATGTATCAAGAATCGTAACAGTCTTTTGCTTTCCGGGCAACTGCTCTGTATCAAGAATCGTAACAGTCTTTTGCTTTCCGGGCAACTGCTCTGTATCAAGAATCGTAACAGTCTTTTGCTTTCCGGGCAACTGCTCTGTATCAAGAATCGTAACAGTCTTTTGCTTTCCGGGCAACTGCTCTTATCGCTGAGCTATTCAGACCTCACATCTTATGCCACTTTAACACAATATATACAACTCCAGAGCGTATATTGGAATCCCGCTCAATTGCAATGCCGACTGCCACGGAGAGACGATACATCCAGCACATCTCCAGAGCGGTCCAATCGTACTAGACTACTAGACGATTGAAAATTGGTAACCGCTCGTAGCCCATAACCGCTCAGCGATGAGTCTTGACTGATCACCAGTATACATGGAAGTCTCTTCAAATAGCCCATCCTAAACTACTTCGCCTAAGCAGCCCCCTCTTCTGCTCCCAATTAATAATCTGATCTTCCACTGTCAGCACGGAGTGAATAGATTACCAGCATCCACGCTGGCACAGATGTTCGCCGCAGAATGAAATGAGGGAGTAATGTGTTTCTACGTATATGATTTCGGTACTTGAAAATCCTTTTCTTTAGCTATCTGCAAGTTTGTCCGACATAAGCATCGCAATCCTTATATGAAATTTTATATTCTAAGTTGTTTTGCATGAATCCTTAGGGATTGAGTCTTTTCTTTTTGTATTTTGACAAAACCACGAAGCTTGTCAAGACCAGCATATGATGATCTCGTGTCAAGATCGCGTAGAACTTGTTTAAATTGTTCTGAAAAGGTTGGAATATAAGGTACCGTAAAGAATGAATGCGGTTCCTCCGGTTGATCGTTCTCTCTGGTCATAGTTCTCGGTTGATTTTTTGTAAATAAGTATTTTATACTTTCACGAATTGTACTGAAAATGTAAGCTAGGGGGTAACTATTGTCTAGGAGGATGTTGATTATCAATTTTAAGTTTTTCTCGTGGAATATCGGGTGTGACAATGAAAAGGCCCGATGTATTAAACCAATAATTGTTCCTCTCTTATAGTATAGTGGGTCATTTTTTTTTATGGATTTATAATTCAATTCATTTCTCAGAGAAGGTGAAACAAATGAAACGGATGAAACAAATTAAAGATAGTTAGAACCTCAGTAAACATAGAGGAAGGAATCGCTAAAGCTGTATCGTACACATACCTATAATAAAAAGGCAAATTGAAAGGGACATATCTAATGTTCTGTTTTTCAAATCTTACAAAATGATATCCGCAATGATAGGGGACAGGGAAGAGCCTATGGGGGCTCCAAACATTTGTTGATATATTCTTTTGTTGAAAGTGAAATACATTGAATTGAATACAAATCGAACCGCCGTCAAGAACTTGTTCCGAGGGATATTACATTTTTTCCAATGAAACACCACCTTTCCAAAATATTATCCAAAACTAAATCTAATGGAATGTTCGTAAAAAGAGAGATGACATCCAACGATAGTAATTTAAATTGGTCATCAATGTATGTGCCTGATAGTTTTTGAACGAATTCGAAGCTATTGGAGATCTGGCTATGTGCTCTGGGGATAGCATTGTAAATAATGTTATGCAGAAATGTAGTTAAGGGGGGAAACCAGTGTAACGGCTAAAAAAAGGCTATTTTTAAGAATTTTATATAATATTTCTGTGTATAAAGTTGTTCTCCTTTTTACGGAAGTGTCCTTTTATTGCGTGTGCGCAAGTGTGAGAAAGTGAGAGAGCGACGAACGCAACAATATCGTTACACTGGTTTCCCCCCTTAAGGGATGTAGAGGAGTATTGATCGAGGAGACGATGATCCTGAACGGGCAGTCCGGTTTGTGAATTTTCGGCAATCCACAGGTTCTCGGTAAAATGCCATCCGTACAATTCAATCGCTTGTTATATCCGAAATGTAATTGTGACTTTTTCATCTCGCCAACAATTCATGCAGATCATTGATCAATTTCCTCGTCGAATTTTTATTTACAGCTGCTAGGTACTTTCATTGCTTAAAATATCCGTTATTTTATTCAAATTAATATCTTTATCAAGATAAGAGAGCAACCGTGACGTTTCGATCACACACCGATACCCGCGCTTTGGCTTTTATCTGGCAGTTTTTCCACCTAATTGTTAATTTTAGATTTTAGACACTTTCGATTCATTCCACTGGAGGTTGAGATTCACATTGGAGTTTGGCACTAAGAATATACTCTGACGAATATACTATGTGCAGTGTTGGGTAGTATCTAGATACATGTATCTAGATACAGTATCTAAATACATTTTGTGTATCTGAGCCTGTATCTGAGATACATTCGAATCGGAGTATCTGTATCTGTATCTGTATCTAGATACAAAACATAGTATCTGAACTGCTTTTCAGATACATTTTCACTTATTTTTTGTCTGTAATGGAAAAAAGTATGTTTTTTTTATCTGCCTATGGCCTTACTGTCATTGGTGGCGCCACATAGATTTGCGCACATAGTGTATTCCACTAAAGCCCATATCAGACATAAAACTACCAATTGCGAAAATCGACCCGACTGTCGATGACGACTGCCGACTCTCATCTGGCCAATCACAGCGAGGCGCCGACGCTGTGACGGGCTTTATGTATAAAATGACTATCTACTATCTAGTCTATAGATGTAGCTAACCTTCGTAGACAATACAAAGTATTTAAAAGTTGTAATAACCTAAAAATTGCTAAAAATATTGGAAATTAAAAAGATGTCTGTAACTCCTGGAATCATAGATGGAGAATTATTTAAAATAATTTCCAACGATTCTCAGAATAAAAAGGAAAATTCGACGCAAGTAATTGCTGAATGTATGTCATGTGGGAACAAGTACAGTGGTGCACTAAATGCAATCGGAAATCTTTATACGCATATTAAGGCAAGTATCTTTTTAAAATAGTA